AATAGCGATGGCCTCCAACCTAAATAGCGATGGCCTCCAACCTAATAGCGATGGCCTCCAACCTAAATAGCGATGGCCTACAGCCTAATAGCGATGGCCTAGCGATGGCCTCCAACCTAATAGTACCTAATAGCTCCTCTGGGCTTCCCGCTGACAACGTGGAGGTGACCTGCTTCATCCTGGCATTCGACTGTTAAGCACCAAGAGCGAAGCACACGGACCGTGGACCTCACCAAAGAGTCCGACACAGGACAAAAGGTTTCGAATCCAGTCCAGACGCGAAAGCAAAGTTTGTACAGAAAGTTCGTGCGAGGTCTGCCAGACTGTGGGACCAAACCACTTCTTTCGTGGGTCTTTTCAAAGGGAAGGAGGAGAGAGCTGAAGGACCTTCGCAAACATATCATCTTCGCACGTAAGTTGGCAGTCCTTGAATTGAAGGACAGACATCTACAAACATCCTTCATACAGTGACTTACTGAGCAACCGATGCGAGACCTGATGGGCCATTCGTTGCCCACAGTTCTGAGTTCTGGCCTTGCATCATTGCTCCTGAGCTGCTTCTGCAGGTGTCCCATCTCATTCTCCGTCCTTCGAAGCAAAGCCTGTCACAACGGGCTGCTTGGTGACATTCGGCTTGCTCTGGCTTCAGCTTAACAAGAAGCATATGTTCGCTACTAGAGGCTCCTGGCATCGCTACGAACGGAGCAAGGACGCTACGAACGGGGCTCCTGGCCTTACTACTAGGAGCAAGAAGCTAATTTAAAATGTCTTATCGGGTGTCGAACGACGTGTTGATCTTCCAACAAACAAAGTGCACGAGTTAGATAAGCCATGGAATTCCAGGACCCCCCAGGACTCTTTGGTCGCAAAGCAGGTACTGTAGAAGTTCCATGATGTAAAACGCTGAAGTACTGAGGTCCTCCAGGTCTTTCAAAGCTTCCTTTGAGGCAAATGAAGCTTGGAAGTCCTGAAGATCATCATCAAGCGGCCCAAAGAAATGCGTTTGGAAAGAAATCAATCTCAAGATTCACACTGAAAGTCCATTTCACCCTCAAAATAGCCTCCAGAAAGTGTCGAGGGGCAGCACATGACCTTTATCTCACGATCCACAACACGTCATAATGTCTAGAGGACCAAACTGCAGTTTGTTTCCAGATTGGTAGAGAGAGAGGGAGCGGGTAAATAATTAAAACTCAACAAATGAATGATAGAAATAGTACTGCAGTAGAAAATAATGGCCCAGTCATGTCCGGTCTAAAGATCTAAGAAAGGGGTAGAGCAACCAATAGAATAACAAAATGTACAGATAAAATATTGGGAGAGAACCTCAACCAGAAAGGCTGAGCTTCAGCACCTTGGAGAGCTGGCTTTGAGCATCTGCCATTCTATTCCTCAAGGTCGTGACCTTGAGTCACACAGCAAAAAAGAACTTCTGAAATCATAGCAAAGATAATAAAGAGAGCAAGAAACAAAGGAGCCAAATGCTCTTCACACATTCGAGCTAATCTGTGGTCCGAATTGTTGAGGTCTATCTTGAACCAAATTGCAGTGGGGCTATGTAGTGATCGCAGTGATGGAGCCATTCAAAACAGGCTTCGGATTCAGAGAAAAATCTGTGCAGTTGTTTACATGTATTGGAGGCCATCGCTATTAGGTTGGAGGCCATCGCCATTAGAATCGAAAAAAAGATAAAATCGCCTCCTCCACAAACTCGTTGCGGAGGACCTCAAGAACCTGCTCAAAAGGGTTGACAGGAGGATGGCAGCATCAACCCTACATACTTAAGCTTCCCTAGAAATCGAGGAATCAAATGAATAGTGCGAGCGCTTCTTCAAGGAAGCGTGAGCTGAGCTATCCTGCGTCCATGCTAGTGGCTGCTTAAGCTACTAGCTTCTCCTTACTTAATTAAGTAGGCGCCTACTTATATAGTCAAGTAGGGAGAGGGGGAGCGGGCTAAAAGAAGATGCTTGAGCAGTTTCGACGAGGCCGACACGGCTCACACACAGCCCACCTAGCTGCAATTTCTTGGGACTCAAGGACGCAGGGGTAGTCTGTGAGAATTTCTGGATAGAGTTTCACCAAGAGTACGAGTGAATACAAATGACCAAATGAGGACAATAGACTCTTCAATCGACACAAGGTTTGTACGGTTTTATTTTTTCACGACCCCACTCCTTGGTACAACACCCATTTTTGGCCCCACATACGGAAGTCTGCCTGCGTGCCGACGGTCGAGCTGTAGCTCCGAAAGCGACTGGCGTGGAAAAGATGTGCTTTGATTGCCACAGGGTGTCATGACTTGGGATGCTGCTTAGTCCGAGCACCTGCAGTAGCAAGGTCCTGTGCTATCACCAAAACAGCGATTGTGGGATATGACCAACACAAACAGGCTCTGTGCATGGCACATCTGGCATTGAGACAATAATCAAACATGCTGGATGTTTTCTTGATGATTGGTTTGAAGGCAGCAATTTACTGTTCGAAATCCAAGTGAATCTTGACACCAGCTTGAATCCATGAGAACTTTGCTGTTGAGGAAATTCCGATTGGCGCCCCGATGGCTCAAGTACCCTGCAATTGCCAAGTGACCTCAGAACCTCTCGAAGTGTGTCCTCCTTCACGCGGATTTCCTGACGACTTTTCTGCTCCGCGCAAAAACGTGGCACTGTGCACATGTTGTAATCTGCTTGTGTTACAAATAAAAGTAAAAAAAACACAGAAACTGAAATCACGGAGCTGAGCGGCATCATTTGCATCCCTGAAGACGCTAATCAGCTTCCTGTCATGTGAGGCAATCCAGATCTCAAAAAATGAATGTTCCCCTACCAAACCGTTACAGTTACATTGCAGTGATGTGAAAAACAAGCGCTTTGCACAGAACACGCACCAAACAAACCCTTCACACTTGGCCAACAAACCACTTGCACAAATGGTCACGGTTCCATTGAAGACCAAATCAGATCATCCGTTTGGATCGAGGCATTTTCCGAATCCGCTCAAAACTCACTTGGAGAATGAAAGGCTTCAAACAGGAACACAATTTTCAGCTGGCCTTGCCATGAGTTCCAGCAAGAGTCTAGAAAAAACACCTGCGACACCTGCGCCTTTGATCCACTTTCCATACCCAACCCGCATCAACGCCGCCCTCCGATTGCCCCGGACTCCGGGTGCGCACACAGGGATCTCAGGCAATTCCACATCCATCGGTGAACGGGCCAACCTCTTCAGCTTGGGAAGATTGTCGGACCGGTGGAATTCATCACCTTGCGATGCCTAGCGGCTCTTGGCGTTGGGAAAGTTTCGGAGCTGCATGAATTGAATTCGCTTGAATCAGTAATTTTCCTTGTGGACAGTTCTCATCCAAATCCTGGAGCCAGAATGATCAAAGGGCGTGTGATAGGTCGAGG